AACTGGGGAAACCCAGTTTGAGATTGGAAGAACATATCTGTAATCACTGCTATGAAGCTAAACTCTGCACAAGCCCAAACCTTTGTCTCTAGTTGATCTTTGAAGCACAAAACTGTTTTAAGTCTAAAAGATATGCCAATCCAACCTACTAATCATCACAATAGCTTTAGTTTTTAGAAATCTGGAAGGAGATAAGGAAGATGCCCATATGCAAGTAACTTGAACAAATATGTGTTATACCGCCATGGGTATACATATGCAACATATGACACATGTCTCTTGTAAGTTCCCTTGTTCCAACTATGGGAAATAATGTTCAGTTATATAGACCTCAGCAGTACCAATACCCCCTCCATTTCCACCATTTGAATTCAACCAATGGACTTGTACCCCTCTGCCTCTAACCAGAGCTGCACAAAGAATTACATGAAGTGCAAATAAACTTTCACATAGAATACACGGGGAATGTGAAGATTTTCAAAACCAATATGATCCCTTCTAACCACACACTTCATAACACCCCGACCTGGAAGGGTCGAAGCATGTTGGCCATCATCGTGAGGTGACGTAACCATAAGGTTAAGTGATGCAAAAAGTGAATAAAATTAAAACTAATTAGAACTAAACAGTGAAAGAGTGTGCAATTCGTGGGTTGAACGCACTACAAGTATTCAGAGTGTAATAGACAGTGAGACTACGAAAGAGTAGTCAAAGCAACCAAAGTACACTTATTACAAACAAACCAAGCAATGCCTAAGATGAATCATCCATCTTTATAACTAATAGTGTGGAACAAGTGACCAATTGTATTTCTGCAAAAGTAACTGTACAATGCACCCAAGCGCTCTGCATATAACTCAAGATATTTCTGCAAACCTGTTTTGAATCATGATAACTCCACTGGAAGTAGGCAACAAGTAATCATCAGAATAAACCACAGAAATGTACAAATCCAACTGCTACAAAACAGAACCTTGTATCATCCTTTCAAACTTGCCAAAACCAATATTCCTCTCCCTCTCACATGAGTTCCAATCAAAGAACAGCCTCTTATAAAGTTGTAACATACCCTCATGCTGGTTATCACAATTTCTTGCGGGATTACCCTTCGTGGAATTTACCGTCAACAATCTCATTTAACTTGGCTTTGGCCTTTAATATTTACAAAAATAGAAAATTAACAAACTATAGTGTGGCATCGACCTTAACTTAGCACCACGAGATCGCCCTTTGTGGATTTTACCAAAAACAACTTATTTGAACAATGGCATCAACCTTCACAATTTCAAAAACTGAAAATCAACATCTATGTAGGATTACCCTTCATGGGATTTACCTACTCACATCACGAAATTACCCTTTGTGGGATTTACTGTTAACAACTTCTTCTACCCTTCGTGGGATTTACCAATTCACATCACGGAATTACCCTTCGTGCGATTTACCGTTTACAACTTCTTCAACTTCATCGTATAACCGGACTTACTATAGATTCATGCTAACAACTGAGTTGGTTAGACTCTAAAATTATAGGTTGAGATAAGAAAATATAATGCACAAACACAATATAAACGACTTGTAAGTAATCCCATTGGGATCTATTCCCTTGCTTAACATTTCTGATACCATTTGTAAAGCTCAAACTCTCTCCATAGTTCGACAGTGCATTAAACATGGTGTTGTATGAGCTCACATTCGGAGGACATCTCACTTCACCAAGGTTCTCGAAGTGTTGCAAAGCCTGATTAGCCTTTCCATTCTTACACAACGCAGCCAATATCGTATTGTAGTTCACAATATCCGGCAAGCAGCCATCCGATATCATGTAATCCAAAAACTCAATTGCCAAATCCAATCTCCCCTCTTTGCAGAAAGTAGAAACCAACGGATCATAACTATACGCATCCGGAGTCAATCCATTATCATTCAAAAGAGGTGCATTGACATGATCAATAGAGGCCACAATGCAAATATGAGAACAAGAAACAACTCGTGCAAGACACTGTTGGGTTTCTGATTCCCTTAATTCAGGTCCATCAATGTTGTGAATGTCGTATCTTCTGATCCATCCAAAAATGCAAGAAGATCATCCATGAACCTAGAACTAAATGGTTGTTGCACTTTTGACGAGTTTCTAGAAGGAGTCCCTTTGGTTTTCAATTGATCCCACAGAAGTTCAGCTAAGGCTACCACAAAGACTTCACATGAAACTTTTGAGTTGGGCATTTCGACAAACACCTGGACTGCACCCATGTCTGATCTTTCTTCCATACCAAAGAACAGGGTAGAGATCAAAGAATTCACTGACCCATTCCTTCAAACAGTTGGAGTGCACATTATCATAACCTGAAGAGCTACCAAGATTTGCAATCTTGAACAAACAACAACCATTTCCTATACAAAACAAAGTACAAAAAACAATACTTTCTTTGAGCTGCAATCGAAACTGAACAAATTGAATCCCCAAGACCATATTTAAGAATCAGAATTACCAATTAAGTAATTAACAACTGTTTCTTCATATACCCAATTAAGTAATTAGCAACACCACCTCCAAGAATCGAAAAACTATGCTAGTCACCTACTAATCAAAGCAAGTAATTAAACCCAATTCACAGTCCACAGTTCTGATCAAAGATCTCTAAGAACCCTCCAAGAATCAACAAATCGAGTTACCCAGTAATGAAATTAAGCAACTGAATTGAAAAAGCAACATTACCAGGCAAGTAGTGCAAACACCAAGAGTTGCCCAACCGCCATGATCAGGATATCAAAGAAACCTCCGCAATCGGACCCAAAATACTGAGTTTCCTTGTACTGCTTTATGTACCTCTTAGCAAGATTAACGTAGAAGAAGAGCGGTTTCTTGGTGTTGGAGACCTGAATTCTGTTCTTCTTCAACGCCTCAACCGATTGCGGCGGTGGAGCTGCGACTCTTTCCATTTGCTCTGCCGCCATTTTGCTATGAAATTTTCTCCAACTTTTGATCTCTCGCTTTCGATCAGGAACAGACTCATGAATTTGATCGGAAAGAAATCAACCCATAAACACATCAACCCAAAAGTAAAATAACGATCGTGGAAGCACCTAGAAACTTATTGTAATTCCTAATATCTAATGAAAATTTGGGAAGAAACTAAGCTAGAAATAGATGTAAATAAAATAATGGGAAGTGGAACCACCAGAATCCATGGCGTAAGCTTGGTCGCTCTGATATCATGTTAACTACATTGCAATGTTTGGGAATTGAAGGGAACGTCAAGAAGAAAAGATTAACAAAAGGATGAACATAGAGAATTTTAGAGAGAGAGTATAGAGAGAGAAATATGCTTTTGTATTAACTAATAGAATGAAGGTTACACAACTATTTTTATAAGAGAAAACCTAACCACTCTAACCAAATACTAGCCAGCTTACTAACTGTATATATTGCTGACTTGTACCCTGAATACATGGAAAGTAAGGTTTCAATATTTATTTATATGATTAGTTTATTTGATGCCTAGTGGTCATGTGAACTAGTGTTCATTAGTTGTAAATTATTAATTCGCTGAATTTCTCTTAGGCATATTTGACTTATAAGTTATAGTAAACTATGTGTTAGTTGTATGAAAAAGGTCACGTCTGATGCTCTAATTCCCGTCGATTTTGAGTGCACTTTAAAATTGGGACGTGATATACAATTTTCAATAGTATCATAAAGAGGATAAGAACCAGAAGATAGTGTTTAGAATATCTCACGTGAAAATGAAAGTGGTTAAAAGATCTTTTAGATTATTTACCCATTGCTAATTGGTTTTGAATTAGATGGTTCTACTGTGGTACTAAAGCATGCTGTCCACTTCTTAGTCCAAACCATCATACATGCTCAATACTACTTGATATTGCAATGGAAAATCACCTTCTAATAAAGGGTACAATTACCAATCAATCTACCAATTGAATAGTAAACCATGAAATAATGAAAGAATGAGGATCCTCTTCGAATCTTCTTTGTGAGGATCTTGGGGATCTTAAAATCATGTCCGTTCATCGTACATCATGAGATCAATTTTCGTTAGATACTGTTCATGTTTAATTTTAAATAAAAATATTTAAAATAATTTCTTACCACACGATGTATGATGAACGGACATGATTTGAGGATCCCCAGGATCCTTACAATGAGGATCTGGAGAGGACCCTCATTCATAATGGAAGCTCCAATTAACTAATTAACCTCCTGATCTAGTTAATAGTTATACTATTAGCAAAGATGACTTTGAAACAGAAAACAACTATCAGAGCTCTGGTTCTCCCACTGTTTAACTGATCCCAGTGCTGACTTCATCTCTACTAAATCTTCAGGGCTTCATTCCTGATATGGCTTTGTACCTCTTCTCCTACTGATTTGGCACTTCCATTATCAGCTCCATCTGCATGTTGCTTAATCAAAATCACTTAAGGCTGCACCTAAGTCCACGATATATCTTGGTAATTAGTAGCAGCTACTAATGACAGACCGCAACGCATATGCTTGCTTGATTAATAGCAACTTCTCAATAAACTAAACTTGTGGGAACTATGCCATCATATATATTAGGAGCGATCAAAACGCTAACCATTTATTATCTTAATATGGCGCTAACCATTTATTATCTAAGTGTGCCATCATGTAATCTAATGATCAAAACTGTTAAAATTTAGGATATCATTACTAGATTTTCCTTGCGAAAATTCATTGGAATCGGAAATCATTTATCTCTTTGATTATTATTGGGAACATTTCATTGTTTATCGACACTCTATCTTTCTCTATTTGCCATGTCACATATATATTTTTTTTTGCGGAACTGCCATGTCACAATTAGATAACCTTTTCTTTTTTTGGAACAATCGATATTATCTACACTAAGGGGAAGGGGATAGGCTTAACCTCACAATGGGCTAGCAATAATGTGGTCTAAATTTGCCTTTAGCGAGAATCGAACCTAAGACCTCTCACTTACAAGTGAAAAGGAATATCATTAGACCGTAGTACTAAGTGGCACAATTAAATAACTAAACAACTTCCAAATACATGTAAGTTTTTGCAAGGATGATATTTTAGTGATAACCTAAAAAATGATCGAATCGATAGTGTTCAATGTAGGGATGGGCACGGGCCGGGCCGGGCTGGGCCCAAAATTGAAGGAACCGGACCGACCAATTCGTAAATACAATGGGGCGGGGCGGGTTTTGGATTTTTCAAAATAGGATCCAGACCTAACCCGGCCCTTTTGAAACGGGCCGATTCCTACGGGTCCCCATAGGTCCAAATCTTTAACCCACGCCTCAAGTTTGGTGGTCTTTCCTCTTCCTCTTCGTTCTCCTCATTTGAAGATTCGCTTCTTCGAACAACATCATTATCGGCGGTTCCATCAAAACAACCACTGCAAGATCTGCACTCTCAAGGCAAATTAGGGATTAAATTAGGGTTTTCACATAACTCTTTCATACAAACCCACAAATCCTATTTGCCTTCTCATCGGCTATGAATTCGAAGAATAAAAGAAAGGGAATACCTTAGGGTTTCTGAATCTAAGCAATTTCAATCAATTCCCTTGTAATTTCCTCTTCCTATTCATCAACCAAAAGGTTCTGCAAATAGGGGGGGGGGGGGAAGAGGCATTGATCTATAATTTCAAGTCCTAGATAAAACATAAAATTTCAAGTTCACAAAACCTGAATAATTTCACCTTGTGCTTGGGTTGCAGATGCTCTCCAACTCCATCTTGTCTTCGAACTTATCGGCATCCGACAACTGGTTGTTGCCCAACCACTGGATGGCAGTCTCTCGATTGAGTCCTCAATCTTCTTGTCCTTAATGGAGTTTGGGGATCATGGGTCTCTTGGGATAGAGAAGAAGAGGGTCTGAGTGAAAAAAAGAAAAAAAAAGAAAAGTGAAATGAGTGAAAAAAATAAAACAGAAATAAAGAAAGAAAGAGTGAAAAAAAAGTAAGTGAAATGTAGTACAAGTACTAATGTACTGCACAAAACCAACGCAGTACTTGGACTTTTGGACCAGAAAATTGAGTGGGCTTGGGAGAAATAGGTCCGGTCGGGGCCCTGTTTCCTTGGCCTTTTGGACCCGCCCCGTCTCGTTAATTTCTTGAACCCGCCCCGGCCCGCCCCGTTTGTGTTTTTCAATTTTAAGACCCGCCCCGTACCCATCCCAAACTGCATGTACCTGCCCCGCCCCGCGGGTCTAGTACCCGTTTGCCCACCCCTAGTTCAATGAGTCTAAATGAATAATTAATTTTGTATTAAAATAATAACTATTTAGGCACTTGAACAATAATACACACACACACACACATAATAATATAACAGTTGCAGTTTTTTATTATTAACAAGAAATGCAACTAGCTTGTCGAGTGGCCATTGTGTAGTTTCTTAATTCTTATTAATATGATCCCCATAAACCTAGCTAAGTCAAGAGAAAAAACGTATAACTTAGGGCAAGTTTATTGAAGAAATGTATGTGTATCATTCTTTTCTTTTTTAATATATAAATTTCGCGTTTATACTAGCATATAAGGATTATATGCACTATTCTTATTCACACACCTAAATGAGCGAGTCCCACTACCAAAAGAGTAGGTTATCCCATATATGAGCAACATGTATCATTCTTATTTATGACTTTAATCTTCAAGTAAATATGCCCCTATTACTGTAGAAGTATAGCCCATTTTATTAGTATTAGTGTATCTCATTGTGCCATCCACTTGTGATTAATGTATTTTAACTGAAGTATCATGATCGAAGAGCTTTCGTTTTCTTAATCATCATATACATATCATCTTTGCAAAAATTTAAAAAAAAATTATTGAGTTGTTTATTTGTTTGATACATATAGATGATCATATATCACTTAATATTTTTTAGAAATAACTATCAATCAAGATTAAGAAAACAAACAGTTCTGATTAGCATTTTCAGTAAATTACAAACAAGTGTAAAAGGAGAAAAACTTACATGGAATGAACTTCATCATTGTATTGTGTTCCGGTCAAATAATACATTGTCATGTGTAAGTCTTCTTTACATGACAATGTAATATATTAAACCAAAACGCTATAATGACGACAAACATATTCCATATAATTTGTTATCATGTAGAATAAGGGGCAGATCCAAGGAAGCGGGGAGGGGGTGTTCCTTGTGTCCCGAGATGATATGGAAGTCGGGAAATATGGGATGAAGGTCGCTGGAGGATCCTAGGACTACCTCAAACTATTTGATGAAATGCCACTTCGGTAGAATTTAACATTCCTCGGCAAGTGATGCTTGACGGCCTCGACATCAAGCCTTGAATGTTGTTGACAGATTTAAACATAGGGATGTGATATCTACACACCTCTTTTTACTTCTCTCACACTCTTTTAATTTTCGGCCGTCGGATCGGTTGAATTGAAGAATATCAAATAACAGAAATTATCAAGGAGTGTGAAAGAAGTAAAAAATGATGTGTGGATAGCACAACTCTAAACATAATAACATGCCCCCAAAATCAGGCCTTAGAATTTTGAATCCTCCACTGTGTACAATAGGTGCAGTCATATCTATTGGCTAAACCCTAAATGCAAGTATTGTCATTTCGAATACGTTTTCCATATGATCCCGGCATAGAGTCTGAAAAAGTGTTACATGGCCCGCATGCGGGGTCGACACAAATTTGTGTGGTGTAGAGACGCAGACAAGAGCAGCGTGGACCATCCCTCCTGTTGTTCCCCTAGCAATGAACACGACAAAATGTCCTAACGGTCATTACCGGCCAAATTGACACGTGGCGAGTAGCCATGTGAGATAGTCAATCACCAGGTGGGTCGTTGGCTATAAAGAGTCGAACTGTAGCTGCCATTGCCAAGGGGGTCGAACCTAATTGAAGGAAGAAGACTGCACAAATTATGCCATTGAAATCCTTAAATATTGGATGAGAGGAATATCTTGACCCAAAAGTCTTAAATATAAAAGTTGATTTATGACATACACTTATCCGTAAATGATCATACATAGAGGCCAGCAAATAACTTTGCTTCAATGTTGTAGTCATTTATACATATTCAATGTACTCAACCAATGGAGAAATACATAAGATACATAAAGTTGAAAAATAGTAAAATAAGAAATTAATAGGTTTTGTTAAAATTATTCTTTTGAAAATTTTCTGAAATGTTAATCTCAGATTATAATTATAGGTTCTTCTCTTCATTGGAACAGTAAAGTCGTTATACTCATTACTAATAGAAAATGTTTACAATGTACTTTTAATCTTGACCCTCCGGCCAAAGACATTAAATGGTTAGCTCCACATCATTACCATAAAGATTATTTTTCTTGAACTTTGATGCCAAGATTCAACCCAATCTTAGATATCTTAGGTTTGGCTAATTCATGAATATTTTATAGAAGAATGCCATCGTTTTGGTTCTGGGATGTGGAGCACTTTTGCGGAGGAGGGTGGAGAGGGGAACGAGAGAGATGGAAGAAAAGCAAGGGAGATAAATGATTGTTCCACAATATACTCAAGAATTAGGACTAGTTCGGTATTGATATGATTTTTTATAAATAAAGGTGAATCAGATACATACCAATTTTATAGGTCTCTACGAAATAGATCATATACATCTTTCCTATTTGAAGTTAAATAATTAGGTCACACAACCACATTAGTGTTGCAGTCATATTTAAAATAGGAATGTGATTGTGTAAATCCTAAGGAATCTAGGAATGTATCTTATATTCCTATTAGGATTAGATTACCTATTAAATGTTGTAATTCTAAGGGGAAAAGTTTTACTCTTTCTACTACTATAAATAAAGGCACAATGGGGTGAATCAAACACACCTCACAATTAAATCAATCTCTCTTCTCCCTAAGCTTGCCACACCCCTCTCTCTCTCTAACCCTAGATCGCTCAATCAAATAGGCCTACAACACGTTATCAGCACGCTCTTGCCAGAAGCTAAGGAATTGACGCATCGTTGGAGGAGGCTATCATCCACCCAATTCAAAGGCTTATTCGTTTTCTGCTAATCAGGTACAATTAAAATAAAAGAAGATATTTGAAACGTCCACGAAGCATGAAAACATTCCTCATGATGCATGAACCCCTTTATGTTTATATTTTCCTTTCGATATATATTGTATATGTTCATATATTTGTCAATATATATATTTGTTTCATGCATCGCACAATTAAATTGTTATGTAGAATTTGTTAGTCAAAGCATAAAATTAAATTAGAAGCATGTTTAGGGTTTTCCTAAACCCTAAAGGATTTGAAAAAAACAAAGGGAATCAGGACATGGTGCGGCATACCACCACACCATCACTATGTAAAATTGATACCAGGCCTCGACCTGGGGTCCTAATGGATGGACCTGCAGCTAGCCATGCAACTAGCCCACATGACTGGGCATTGGTCCTTGCGGCCTGCACATTGACGCCAGCCTTACGGTTGGGCTTCCCTGCGCAACAACAAACAGGCCAGCCTTGCTGAACCTGCACCGTGGCCCCCTCCTTGGCCCATATATGAAACCCTGCTTCGGCTGGGGGTTTCTCACCCACCCCTGTGGCCTGTAGCCCACACCCAAGCTCTTTTTGGGCCATGTCTTACGCTTAAGACACCCACCCATGCCCAAATTATTTTTAGGGCATATTTTTCGACCAAATACTATTATTTTAGCATTCTAAAATAATTTAACCTGAATGTTAATATTATTTTGCTTCTACAATCGACCCCGTATGGTCCGATTTATTGAATTAATTAAAAGTGACCTGCAATCCATTAATCTGATAATGAATCCAAAATTATTGACCTGAAGATCACTTTTGGACATTAACGATTCAATAATTTATTTTTATACTTTGAACCGTCACATACTTTCGTAGTAACGAAACTCTCACACTTGAGTTCCCGAAGACAACTCAAATCCACTACACTTAGTTAGTATATTGCATTCTGTGTTTCTTGCAGGAACCTCTCATTATGATCTAATTGTTCATAAAACTATTTATGTGCCTGACGTCTCGCATACCGCTACCCAACCACATTCACCGTTACAGTTGGTCACTGGATACGAGCATGACGTCTCGTATTTATGGGTGTTTGGGTGTGCCATTTATGTGCCAATAGCGCCGCCGCTACGTACCAAAATAGGTCCTCAGAGAAAAATGGGAATCTATATTGGTGATTCGCCATCAATTGTTTGATACTTAGAACCCTTGATAGGAGATCTCTTTACCGCATGTTTTGCGGATTGTCACTTTGATGAGACAATCTTCTCGTCGTTAGAGGGGAGATAAGCATGCTAACGTTCCCGTCGATTGCCGCGAATTGTCGTGGTATGCTCCCACTATGTCTCATTTAGATCCCCGCACTGTCCAGTTTGAAACTGAGGTGCGTCGAATTATAGATCTTTAGAGCATTGCTTAAAGCATGCCGGATGCTTTTAATGATCTAGCAAAGGTGACAAGATCACATAAATCACATATACTCGCTACAAACACACCTGCAAGGATAGATGTACCCCGTGTACGTCAACAACCCGCCTGGGAAGGTTGGACATTCCCCGAAGGAGGGGAGGCCACAAATTCCACGCAGCAAGGTACATTAGCGGCTAGCCAATCATTTGCTCCAACCCTGAAGCGTGGCAGACCCATTGGTTCAAAGGATTCACAACCCCGGAAGAGGAAAATGACACCAACTAGTGACCCTAGTTTGAATCCGACCATCGCTCACTCATTCGGTCCAACACATGAGGTTATTCTAGATTACGGTGATGCTTCAGATGAAACATGCTGGACTCTAGAGAATCGTGAGATTTCGGTCCACTACACAGTATTGGATGAGGTTTGAAATAGGAATGAGATGATCGTCGACGATGTATTCTCGTACTCAGTAGCTACTGACATCATGCTTAGTGATGACATTGAACCACGTTCCGCCGATGAATACCGACGTAGAACCAATTGGTCAAATTTGAAACAAGCAATCTAAGTCGA